TACATTGGTGAGTCAATGAATTTTATTTTACATTTCTTCTTGTCATTTTATTTCGTTAGTATTAAATTCATGGTAACGAAATAAAATGACAAACGTGTATCAAATAAATCTGCTCACCTGCAATTTATAATGGGGCAATGTGGTCACCTTCATTCACGAAAGTTCGTTCAATCTCAGCTGTTAGTCAGTTATTAGTTAGTCAGTTATGTCAGTTATTTGCTGTTGTATCGTCGATTTTCAAAATGCAAATGATCTGTTTACTTTATTTTCAAAGAACAGTTTGTTTTGTTATTGTTTGGTTGGTGTCTTATATGAAACTGCGACATTGCGCAATTTATTGGACAGACTTGTTTAAGATCACACAGCGTAATTTGGGTGGCATTTTATTTCGTATTTTTAAATCATCTTTTTATTTTTGACTATCTGTAAATGTAGTTTCCTGCTCTTAATTGTGAATGCATACTTGATGGTTTTAAATGCTCCTGAAATTAAGTGCTGCTTGACGAGCCTATACAGTATTGTGTTCATAATATGTGACGTCACTGAAGGCCTAAGGTTGAAATGCACGGCCCGCCACTGCCTGCGAGCCATGTGAGGATAAAGCGGATCAGAAAATGGATGGATTGATGGATACCATCGACCATCATATCCATGTTACTTGCCACAGAAATAAAGCGTGAGCTTTTGAGTTGCGTCTCTGAGCTTCGACATGATTATTTACCTCCGCTTGTGTGTTTCTGGCGAGTTGCGCGCCAGTCGTACGGACGGACACATACATGTGTCTGTCATTTTAGCCAGTGCCACGTTCGAAGGAGGTAACCTGATTCCGATTAGGCGACACAATATTCAGGTTAGCAAAGAGGTAACCCAGTGGTCTGATTCGGGTTTTTAAAAACTCGAATAAGGTCATTTTCAGGTTCTGGCGTGCGTTTACGTGGCTTTCAAAAACCAGAATGCTGCCAATATTCGGGGTTTAAAAGGTTTATTGACTGCATTTAAAAGTAATCCTGATGAAACGACAACTCAATGACCTCAAATGATTTGGGATGTGGGTGGCCCTGATTTGGAAAACCCCCTGGCAGACGATCGGCCAGCACAATGGACAGTGGTCTGAATCGACCAGAGGGTTTTTGGAAAAGCGACACCAATGCTGCAGCTGGAGGACTGGAAATCCTCAAACAAGAGACAAGTAGAAACTCGCCACATACTTCCAATTTCAATAGATGAGAGATTTACGGTGATTTTAAAAAAAGGGCTGCTATGTTAACAAGTTGCTTGACTGGCAAATTGTAAAGTTGAGAGAGGTGAGAAAATGATGACTATGAAAAATAAACAACTGAATGTTTTACCACTCTGTAAGGAACTGACATGAGTTCATGAAATACACGTGACCTTCCTGTATGACAACTCTCCTCCCCTGCTATTTTCCCAAACTTGGGCACTTTGTGGTTTCTCTCCACTTTGAAACTTGTGAGCTGAATAGTGCTATTGTTCGACCTTTTGAATTGCGGGAGGAGTACTATGTGCATGCTTTTTATTTGTGTGTCTTTTTTGGGGGGGGGGGGTAGGGGGGGGTTGCGGCCATCACCATCACTACCTTTCACTCTTGGCCATGCTTGTTCTACCTCTGATTCTTGTAGGGCAGGTTTGGGCATGAAGAGTGAAAACAGAAAATTCTTGTCAGGTTATCTTATTTTATCTTACCCTGCTAGCCCTACATATATGACTTATGCTTACAGTAAGAGAGAATATAAAATGTTAAGGTTCTGTCCTTCACCCTTTAAGCACCAAAGAGGCAACAGTGCACCAAGCAACATTTACAGTACACCGTTATCTCTCACCATTTTCAAGCAACAACCTTTTGAAACAGTGATGTCAAGACAGAATATTTTATTGCAAAAACTCCGGCGCCGAAAGGGCTAAACTGGACTTTACCAACATTTTCAAATGACTATAATTACCTCCTTAACTTCAAGTGTGAATTCTGCCTTTGGCCTTGAGTCAGCTGAGATAGACTCCAGCTCCCTGCGACAGTGAACAGGATAAGCCGAGTGCAAAGTGGATGAACTTCATAGGAAAACAGCGTATGAACAGCAAATAGGACTGGACACCCAAGTATATTTTCTCCATTGAAAAAAAAAAACAATATGCATTCCTCAGAAGTAGAATAGAAAGTGTCAGAAAAAAGAGAAAGACAAGAAAGGTGCTTTAATTGTTTCTAAACAACAGATGGAAATGTGGCCAATTTGCTCTCGTTGCTGTTTACTTCTTATACAAAAAGCAAGCACTCACACAAACGCACTTGCACGCAGGCACAAATACACATGCACACATACACTAACATAGCCTTGCGTGCGAACTTTTAACCTCCAGCATCCTGAGTAGAGAAAGGAGAGGAAGGAGGCTGGTGGAGGAAAAGAGAAAGAAAGATGGAAAACATTTGGCGGCTCGCACGCGCGCGCGCGTGCGCGCGCGCACACACACACACACACACACACACACACACAC